CCCCATGCCCCCCTCTCCCCTTCCTCCAGCCCCCTCACCCCTTACTTACCAGCACTGGAGCCCAGGTCTAGCTCTCTGTGGCTGGTACGCTGCCTGCCCTGAATGGGCAGGCAGCGTGCTTCAGGACCAGGTCACGGGCCAGCCATTGAGATGCTCTGGCTGTTACCAGAGCATCTCTGTGGAGGACCCAGCCCCCGGTTGCCTCAGGGTATGGGACCATGCCCTGCCCCACTTTTTTTCTCTGCATTTTTTTTAACCCCTGGATATCCAGGGGTCTAATTTGGCCCCCACGCTGCAAATTTGCAGCACAGGCAACATTTTCTTGTTCCTGCACGTGCCTCTTGTGGCATCTCAAATGTCTTTGAGATGCTGCAAGAGGCATGTGCACTGTCATCTGGATGCGCCCTATGAGTTTAAATAAATTTCAGATGCCCTCCCCCTAGTGCCTCTTAGCTCTTCATGTTAGTTGAGCTTTAGTCATAAATGCTGTGTCTTTTTTTATATGTTATTCTTCAAAGGGTCACTTGAATATTTTTGTTCATATATGCTTCCACACATATCTGTGTATTCCAGCATCTATGCAAAAATCATTTTCTGGATTGGAACACATACATAGTGAACATATTTAGAACATCAGTCATTTTGTTTGAGATGTGCTTAAAGGCAGGTGTGATTTCAGTTTAGAAGCACAAGCCCACATAAGTTGTATGCTTGAGCTATTTCCAAGGAGCGCTCACTATATGCCAAGCCAGCCACATCATAACTGTCACAACCTAAATGTGATGTAAATGGCTACTTAGCACTCTAAGTTGCCATAGGCATGCATATAATTGTTCTTTCAGTCTGTGGTATACTTAAAAGTTTTATTGTGTATTTTCCAATGGCCAATTTGAGCAGCTATTCCAAGGCACATGGTTTGGTTTGGCTACCTAGTGAAGGCTTTATTTTCCATCTAGACATGACCCTTCACAGTTGGACTTGTAAAGATAAACCTTATATCCTAAGATAGGGCGAGTGTCCTGGCATTTCCAATGTGAGTATCTCCTCAAAATAGTCTATGATTTCAGCAATTGTAACTGCACCCTCATGCTTTTGAGGTTATATTTAAAGAGACAGTGAATATTTCAGAAGCCCTTGAAATTTGAATTAAGAAAGGCAAACAAGCACAGCAGTCATCATGACTAATGAAATAGGTATATCTCACAACCAGCTGTGTTTTATAGCCTCAGAGCAATATTGATTCATTATATGTATACATGGCCACTTTTTTTTCCAAAAGACTAAAACAATCCATTAAAAAGTGTTAACAAATAAAATATAGGAACATATAGGAAAAGATGGGAACATTTTGTAGGAAAAATAATAGCAAGCACTAACATGACAAAAATAATTGTTTTAACCTTCCCCAGAAAGAGCTCAGGGCTGTGATTCTTCTTTACTGTCACTGACAGAAGCATTTAAACCCCCACAGTGTTCACTTGGGTGCATAAACCTATGTCCTGCTCCTCTAGGAGATAATTTATGCACCCATGCTTATATAGGGATTTATACCACTGAATGCAAGAGTCGAGGTTCCAGACTACTACTAAGCTCCAGCGGAGGGAAGGGTTCCAAACTCCTCTCTCATCTTTCCACACTTCCTATTGATTGGTTTCTGCACCCTGCTTAGCATGCTGGCCTTAATACCTTTATTTAGTAAGGTCTTCCTTTTGAGAATTGAGATAGTACAAGCAACTGGGTACAAGTGCAACATAAGAAAGATTGGTGTAGGCACAAACATATGACACAATTAATCTTGTACATATTGTACGCATTCTTTGTATGTCTTGTATCCTTTGTGTGTCTGCCACACTAAAAGTGACCTAAAGAATCTATTTGAATATGCTTCTGCCATTCTTTGGTTCTGTATAGCTTCTTGTACCGTCTTCTTTGCAAACTTTGTCAGTCATTCAGAAATCTTCTTTCTTCTGCTATCCAAGATGGAGAGTTCTCTAGGTGACATAATCTTCTTGAGCAAAAACACATGAATTCTAATAAGAAACCAGACAGGAAAACAAATTTTATTTGGCCTAAACAAGGCTTCCAGAACTTTTAAAAAAGTCAGGCCTCTCTGACTGTTGAGGGGCTATGTCTCCTGTGTATGTGGCAGGGGGGGCTGTAGCCCCTGTGGGGGGCATCAAAACATATAGGTATTTAGAATTCACTTGATGATGATGATAGAGACACTGGTAGGCTTCCAAATTGCTTTAACACTGTAGATATATCAATGAAACATTGCCTAACTGATCACTCTGTGTATGTGTGTGTGTGTGTCTCTCTCGATAGATAGATATAATATATATTAGTGGTCTTTTGTTTTAATTGGGGTATTTGAGGTATTTTACAGAGTGACTTTGGCATATTTTTATCAGGGATTTTTCAGTTTTCCAATAAGGACCACCAGAATTCCTGCAAGGGAGGCCAGTGGCAGGACCCTGCCTGGTCAGAGCTGGCACCTTGGACCCAGCTGGAGGTGGCTGACCTCCTCGCCAATTAGGGCCAGGAGGGCATGCTTTGATGGTTCAAAGCAGGCCACCGCACCCAGAACATCTTCCAGGCGATAGTTGCCTGGATGGCCCAGCAGGGGGCATGCATGGCAGTAGTGCTGCACAAAGGCCAACCCTGCAGCCACAGCCCACTAGCAGCAGCCCTGAGGGGCAGATGCCCCTACTGGCTCTGCAGTCCGCATCCAGGTCTGGCAGGTGTGCAGCAGGTCACAGCCAGGCAGCAGCCTCCACTCCACTGCCAGACTGCTGCAGGGGGTAGAGGGTGCAGGGAACTCTCAGGGCTACTTCAGCAGTCCAGCTGACACAAGGGGTGGTGTCCCCAGGTACCAATTAGCTGGTCCCCAGAAGCTCCTGAGAGCAAGTAGCGCCGAGCTACTAGCCAGGGCAGGTTTTTGTACTGATGAGGCCAGGACAGGGCAGCTTTTTATACTTCTGGGAACAGCACAGGTGCTGGCCCCTGGCTCTAGCTCCCCCTGGCTGCAGATCTGGGAGGAGCGAGGCAGGGTTATTTTGCCCCAAGTGGCACAATTTGCCCCATACCAAAGTGCATGTCTGGGCACATGCACAGAGGCAAAAAGCCCAGGCTCAAATTTTCACTGCTTCTATTTGAGCTGCTACAAGTGCATATGCCTGCATGTGTGGACATGCCCAGTGAGTGCATCTACATGTGATGTTATGTTGCCATAATGACACACTATGGCAACATAGCTCATTGTTATGGCAACATAGCATAGCATAGGCAGGTACAAACTATGATGCCAATGCTACCTCACCATAATGATGAGCTACCTTATTACAGCACATCTAAAAATTACTGTGCCCCACCCATTTGACACAATAATCGCTGCCAGTTTTGGAAGTACTAAATGACAGTGCAGTAACAATGGCACCATTGGGGGGACATGTGAAAATGTGCCCAATAAGAACAAAGAAGAAAGATTCTCTGCCACAGGGGTCTTTCAATCTAACAGATGCACACATTTATAGAAGCATACACTGAAGACATTCAAATCCTTTTATAGAGAAAGAAGGACTGTGCAACTTTTAATTCAAATGTTGTTTCCAAACCAGTTCAGTGAGAAAGCCATTAGGCCTTCACACCATCTGAGATCAGCAGAAATTTCATTGTGGGGGCAAAAAAAGAGTTTTATGAGGGGAAGCCAGGCAAAGTGATACAAATGTGAGATCATGGAGATGATTTTACAATCTGAGGAACAAACTGAGGTCAATACAAGTAAAGGAAAAAAAATGATAAGATAGCTTGACATTGTCACTATGAGTTTTTTGTCACACAACAATTCTTTTATGCATATGATCCTCCAAATGTATTAAATATGTATTACTTTTTTAGGAAGTCCATTAAAATAACATTATGTTTTATTGCTTTATAAAAAAAAAAGGAGGATAGAATTCAAGTTCAAATACACAAAACAAACAAAAGTAATTTTATAAGATTCAACCCATGCTCATTTTATTGTCATGGCCACACAACAGTGAAAGATACTTTATAAATATTTCAGTCACAAAAGGACCAGGCCTAAAGTATTATTGCAAAATATTTATTACCTGAGGAATGAAGAAGATTGTTCCCATTGGTAACGTCACCATTGACTTCTATGGGACTAGGTTTTACTTTTTGTTTCTCTTGTGGGCTGTAGCAAAGATTGTGTCAATGTACTTCAGTTTCTTTTCTGAAAAGTCAAGGTAATGTTATTTAAAACGTAGTTTTTGGAAGCATCACTTACTAAGACCAATCTTTATGAGCAACACCTGATCTAAAGCCCATTCAAATTGCTAAAGGACTGAAGAGGGGTAGTTAACTATGTTAATTTGAAGTCAGGCAGAAACCTAGGCAGGGTTGCCTCTTAGGGCATGAACAGATATTACATTTAGGCTGGTCTAAGTTAATGTAGATTGATCTAAACCTATAACTGTTTGGCGCACATAGACCAGTCTAAAAATACCACAGGGAACCTAGAATAGACCACATCCGAGGTACACTCAGTTGAGATCAATTCAGGTTAAAATGAAACGTGTATTATTCCCCTATCGATTCAAGTTAGATCTCTGTCCTCTGGCATCCCAGCCTGGTTTGTGGCCCCTGCTTCTCCTCCCTCTCAGGGAGGTGTGCTAAAGGGAGGGCGTGCATTTGGCTTCTCTGGATGAGTCCCAAGCAAACACAGGCCCTCTCCCAACCCCACCTCCAGCCTCCAGCTACCTGTCAGCTACAGGTATGCATTTGGGGGAAACAAGATATCTACGTTCCCTGCATGAACTCTGGGACATGGGCACCAGGCCATGCCCTGGCACCCCAACACCATGTCCCAAGGCACCCCATAATGTACATGCAGACTCCCACCACTAAGCACCTATACATGTGCCTGATGCCTGATTAATCAAGTCTGCTAGAGTGTACTAATTAGCACACTCCAGCAGCCTCAGCATCATGTATATTCAGCATCTCCATGCTTCAAAATGGCATTGGGGGTGCTCATTGAACAAACTTTCATTAAAGTGTCCCTGCTGCCATTTTGAAGTTTGGGATGCTGACTACATGAGATGCTTTAATTAGAGCCAGGGTCATCCCTAGTAGGGGGCGAATTGGAGTGACCTCCCAGGCTCTGCACTTTGGGGGGCCCTGTGGAGTGGGGCAGAGCAGTGGCAGTGCAGAGTTGGGAAGAGTGGCTGTTCTGCATCCAGTCGCTTGCTACCCCCACTCCCCACCATCGATGCCACCACTGGCATCGGCAGCAGCAGTTTCTTCGGGTCCAGGGTCCGGATTGAAATGGGGGCAGGGCCCTGCATGGGCTGATTTGCCTGAGGCCCCACACCCTGCTCAGGTCAGCTCTGATTACAGTGGCTCCTGATGACCACTCTAATTAAAATGCCTGGACACCCTGGCACATATGTAAAGAATCTGAGTCCAGGACAATCCCCACATTTAGACATAGCCCTACAGACCCCAGCCCTGGCACCCGCACACCCAGGGACTCCCATGCCCCCATGCTCAGGCACAGCCCCATGAACCCAGACCCTGGCATCTGCACATCACATCTCAAAAGCCAGACACAGGCACCTTGTTACCCAGATGCTAGCCCCTCCCCTCCCCCACCCCGAGCAGGAGCCAGTGTGGGCAGCTCACCTCTGGTATGTGTCAGGCTGGCAGGGAGGCAGCCCACTGGGACTGGGACTGGGACTTGGTCTGCATGGAGGTGACCCTGTGAGCTCTGCAGTTTGGGTACTGTTGGCAGATACCCAAGCCATGTGCAATTCAGGTGCTGCAAGTTTGGTTTTTTTCACTTGCAGCAACAGTGTCCCAAAGTACTAGGGCTAGGGTAAGTGGTAGCCACTGAGCATTTAAGTCAGGGAAAGTCATAGACACCCCTGGAAATTTCATAAGCAGCTGAGGCATGCCCTCAGTGTTGAAGGCAGAGGTCGCTGGAAATTCCCAGGCTGGGGAATGGGGTGTTGCCAGCATCATGGGGGTGTCTGCTGGAAACCCACTGAGGTCATGGAGATGGCCTGGCCAGTGAAGCTCTGGTCACTCTGGAGCAGGGGCTGTACACATGCTAGGACCTCCATTTATGGACACCCACTGCTCCACCCATCCCTCTGTCCCTGTGTCCATCCATCCCTCCATCTCCTTGCTGACGGACCTTCACCCACCTATACATGCTGAGACCTTACAGGCACCACCATGGACCACGGAAAACCCCATCCCATCCTCCTTCAGTACCTAACCCTGGTCACACAACTGAGGCCATGGGGAGATGAGGGATCTCTACACCATCTTGGCCTGGTAGGAGAACCAGGACCAGCCCCACAAAGGGCACTGCAACAGAGGCATATTCAAGCATATTGCCTGATGGATGTAAGCATGGTGCCATGACAGGGAGTGAGTACCAGGCCAAAGTGAAATGGATGAACCTCCAATAAAAGCACATGCAAGATGCCAATAAATAGTCTGCAAGCAGGGACATCATTAGCCTGCATATATACAGCACCAATGGGGGACAGGATGAGTCACTAGAAGGGGATACGTTGTTGTCCTGTGGGGTCAGGCCAACTCTCAGAATCTCAATATTGCACTGTTAGACAGGAGGACATGGTGTACAATTGCACATGTACACACTCAAAAATCAATTAGGTGCATACACACACTAGGTGCATACACGCGCTCTAGGTGTGTACACCCCCACCAGGCATACACACACACACTACCAATTCAGGCACATACACATCCAAAATT